GATATTAATATGAGGAAAAACTTTTAACAAATGAATCTGATCTAATAGGTTATCGCTTATGTGATAACCTATCGACCTTATTAATTGAATCGCTTTATGTTAGTTAGTTTCGCGAAGAATTAATTTGCTTTGTAGAAAATTTCCAAGTATAATTGTGTTAAAAGTTTAAACATGCCGAACCGCAACTAGCTAATAATTCGATAGAGCTACTTATGCGATGATGCTTCTCACGTTTTCCGGAGAAGTTGTTAAACGGTCAACCGAACAATTAAAACTATCCATTCGTTTTTTGATCAAGATGTGGTTCTTGAATTTAGTGCAAATGTTAATTCAGAAGCTTTTTTATTTATTACTTACATATTATATCTTATATTATATCTTAACATCTTATGCGCTGCATGTCTGCAAGGGAGTACAACGTTAATTCTGTGTAGTTCTAGAAAAGAATATGCCACAATTTTACAACAATTACTTACATAGCAATCGATTACATTAGATCATTTGTCGCTGACTACAGTTGGCATCGAAATAGTCAAAACTTCTTTTGTTTTTTAAACTTACATAGAATTATATCTAACTTTTATATACTTTCCGCAAATAATTATAACAATTACAGCATTGTACATCAATGCTATATGTACACATACATATAAAAATTGTATTGTTAAAATTGTATTATTCTGTTCAAACTATGATCATATCTGATGTATCAAGAAATTACATAGAATTATTGCAGAACGAAGATTATACAAATTTCAGTGTTACTGTATTTTATACAATTCTAAAATAAGTAATATTTTATTTTTAAAGAGAAAAGTTTGATTGAACGTTTAAAAAAAGCAAAATTTTGGCGTTTCAACTGACAATTATTCATTCGCAAAAGAGTCATGAAATATAAAACCTGTTAGTATACAATTTATAGGCGTACACAAAGGTTAAACCGTCATAGTGTATAAATGGAAAAATAAAATACAACACGCTGGAGCGCGTGCACACATAACACACACATGCGCATGCATAGAGCGTGCTCCATTCAATTACGGATTATCTGCAGTATTTTTCTTTAGCAAATATTTAGTTAGGAGGAACTCATCTTTTTAATACACAAACCGAAGTATCTAGTACTCAACTCTCAAATAAACATCCTTTAGGACAAACATAAAATTGTTTGAAATTAAATAAAGAAGTAGAGGAAATGAAGAAGTAAAGGAAAAAAGGAGGGAGAGAAGAATTCGCTATTATAACTTATTGTTAGAAAAGCTGATAGCTTCTATCGCTAATTTCTCAAGAGAATCATATTTGATATTAAAATTATTAATTTTCTTTTTTACTTTTACTTTCGCCTACATAGTTCTTGTTTCCAATATTAACAGTGTACTGTTAATAACGAAATACACCGTTCTCGTTCTTTACATCCGCGTGATGCGCGCAATTTATCAAATGTATGTTGATGTAGGAAGGTGAAACATTGAGAGTCATGGCTACACAGATACTTGAACCAATACTTTCATTTGCTATCAAGTGGTTGTCTATCGTTGGCTTCTCCAAAAAATGGAATTCCGTATAAATAAATGACTGTGAAATTTGTATAACTTTTATAAGAAATAGCTACTGGTACAAAGATCGGGTGATCAGAGAATAGAAATGAAACTTCCGTTAAGTGATGACTGTGTATCTTTATTTCAGTCCAGTCTGATTTTGCGTTTGCACGATTCAAAAGATGTCAACGTTCTGCCCGCGGGCAATCGAGTGACCTGTCTCCTAAGAATCTATTTATTTTTCGATCTCTTGAGACAATTTCATTGTTTCCATTTAAAATTGACGCAATTCTCTCTTCTTATTAAATCAACTTACAGCATATGCTGTTTGTGTTAAACTCGTACTTACGACGCGGTCAAGCGCGTATAATCGCATTAACAATTCGGCTATAACAAAAAATAATGTGCTGTGAGGTATCGTAAAGCAATCTAATTATATATTATTTAAACTTCTTAGCAGATATTAATCTTCTAGTCTGCCATTCGCAACACTACTCGTGTGTTTACCTTTTTTCCTCGCGCTCGAACAGCTTTCGCGTGAAATTTTACACACACACACACACACACACACACAATATTTCTCGCGGATCACATACATGCTATCTTCTCCGAATACTTTTATTTAAAATGTCGTTTTACTTGGATTACAGCAAGGGTAGTGATCATACAGAAGAAGAATCGAAATAAGTGTGTCTGTATAATAGTATTTCATTATTGTTTCGTAAACTTACTGCAAACTTTGTAATACAGAAAATTCTTGTCCAACTATAATTATCTCTGTCTTCTAAAGCTTTAACTAAATAGTTAAGTTAATGTGCTTAAAATTAAATGCTAAAAGTTTTAAAAGGAAAATTCCTTGTTATTAAAATTATTTTATTTATAATAAAATTATTTTTTTTTGCGAGAAATAAGAAGTCTGTTAAGAAGCTATTGTATTACTGAATGGAGGAGGGGGGAGGGAGTAGGCATTGGAAGGAGATCATTATTTTTTTCATTGCCGATATAAATCTTGCTGAATCAGTCGCTTGATAATGACAGTGCTAGAACATTAAAGTTTCCTCATAATGTGTAAAGAGCATGATTTGCAAATTTTTTTATACAGCGACGAATTATCGATATACTAAAAACTAATTGACACCGGTTAACCAATAAAAGATTAATATTGTACGAGTATGTACATCAAAAATGCTGATTGAATCGTAAATCAAATTATAGCTTAATCAAGTTCACGAATACTCGACATGCAAAGCTTTAATAATTATATCAGAATTCTTCCCAAATAGGACCAATCATTCCAATTTGTCAACAGTGTTCCTTTCTAAAAATAATTTAACACAATTTTGCAAATAGATATTTTACGAATATAATTATTAATATTTCAATACTAAAGCACTGAGAGAATAATAAATTTATGTAATTTATGTATAAATTAAATGTAACGATAATGTTCATTGCTTACAAGAGAATTTTTATCATTTATTGCTATTATGTAAATAGAACGTTTTGGAATCAAGAAAGTTGCGATAGAAGGCAATGTCCCCGACTACTAACAAGTATTGAGAACCCTCGACGCATAATCGATCCCATTCTCGCGTGCGTGCAATATATAGGTTGTTCCGTGTTACACGAGCTTTATAAATACCTCAGACAAGCAAGTTGGTTACATAGTCTGCCATAATCTCGCTATTCGTCTCCAGAGAATATAATCTGCAGGTTCGGTCAAATGATTTTCCATTTCTCTTCACCTGTCACCTATTACAAATAATTCGTCAAAACTGCTAAAGTGACAAGACTAAATGATTGTGAATATTTGTGATTTATGATGCGCGAGGTCGACTTTGTAATATACTTAGAATTAGGCGAGTGCTTGAATCATTCCTCGTTATGTGATAATTTATGAATTTGGAAACCTGCGGATTGTATCATTTTTCACGTCTATTCAGTTAATGCATAATTGAATGCGTAAAGCTGTAATACACTTGTTCAATATAACTTATAGTCTATAATTGACAAATTTTCTTTTGATTGATTAATAACGTAAATTTATCTCTTTGAATTGGTTTGAGATAATATCGTCTAATCAAATTGTGTCATCCAATATTTCGATTATTCTTCTTCATTTCTTTTTGTTTTTTTTTCACACGTGGAAATTAGTTACTCCTTTAAATATGAAAAGTATGTTCCATTAAAAATAGTTTCGCGCTGCTCAAATACTCTGAAATGCCTGACATGCGATCGATCACATTGGCCACTTCATTAATAGAGCGTCGCACGTTTTCGCAGATTTCAAGATGCCCATCGATCTTTACTTAGTTGTCGGAAGTGCGCATGAAAAACTCCCATGTATCGTCGAAAATAATTTCGCTCGAATACTTCCGACGCTAGAGATCATAGTGGTTACTTTATTAATAATGTTGCACATTTCCATAGATTTCAAGATGCCTATTGATCTTTACCAACTTACTGGAAGTTCGCCATGTCGGACCGTGCGCTTGGCAGCGGCGGCCATAGGAGTGGATTTAAACTTGAAGAACGTGGACCTCAAGGCCGGCGAACACCTGAAATCTGAATTTATTAAGGTGACTTGTAATTTTGTAAAAAATGAAACATAAGTATATAAGTGCAAATGAATCCTTAAATTAAATTATGTTTATATTGTTACATCTTTATATATGTTTAAGCCTTTATATACGTTTGAGGATTCATTTACATTTATTTTAAAAGAGAAAAGATTAGGGGATATGAAAGGATGCGGGTTAGACACTACAGATACATAGGAGCATTGCGAATCAAATATAGCTTTTACGACTTTGGAATATAGACCAATAACGTCCTCGAAAAAAATGCTATAATATCTTTTTGTGAAACAGTGCGATTATCGATCTTATTTTCCAATCAAAAGATTTAATTCCAATAATTTGTAATTAATCTTGTGCAATATTTATAAAACAAGGAATTAAGAGAGGATTTTAACTTAAAGAGATAGAAATAGCGCGGCGCGCGGCGTTAAATTCAACATCTAAGATATAGTAATGAAATTGTCAATTTATGTTAACATTGTCGAGTAACATATTATAATTTTTGTGAATAGTTAATCAAATAAAAGAAATGTGTAAACATGTAGTACGAGTTTATGCTATGGGAGCAGAGAAAGAATTAAATATAATGAATCCTCAATTACAGCCGAGAAATGAAAGGAGAAAAATATTTTAAAAATACTAGGAGAATAAGGAAAAGAGGAGAGAAAAAGAAAAATAAAAATTTCAACATCAAAGTCTTGTCCAGAAACAAAAGATCAAATTTTATCGATGTTGAAATTATCGGATGTCGATAAGTGTTGACAGTGGGATAACGAGATAATTAATTGAGGAAACTGAGATATTTGTGATTCTAGTGAATTGTGTTGTCCAAAGTTATAATATCTAGGGAGAGAAGAAGAGACAGAAATTTTTCCCACAAATTTTACCTTCAAAGTTGTGAAATATGTGAAGGAGAGAACATAAAGTTGTTCAGAAAAGTAAATAGAAGAATACGATGATAGGGAAATAGAAGAAATAGAAGAAGGAGAATCGAAAAATATTCATTCAGTTAAAGAAATGAAGAAATGAATGAAGAGGGTGAATTCTGTTCAGAAGGTAGCATAGTCAAATGAGAAAACAAGAGGAGAAATCGTTCGCTAGAAAGATCACTAGAAAGAAATTCTATATCAGCTGGAGAATCCGGAACTGCAGAGCAGATGAACAGGGAGCGATAACTAAATCTAAGCTGTTCATATTATTTTAGCTAGAGTTTTCTCCTGAAGTTTGCGCGCTCTCTCTCTCACCTGTTTTGTCCAGATATGTTTAGCACTCTGAATTTATGGATTCTATGAACTGATAGAACTCAAATGTCCATTAAAGTTTGACGATTTATGATTTGTTTCAATTACTCCGTTATTCGAAATTTAATTTAATTTCTCTTGATATTCATCAGTAAATTTGATGTTTCTTTTTCGTCTATTGTTTCTATTTGGATTTCTAACTTTATATATTTTAAAGGTCACAGTACCCACTTTATTGAAATTGAATTATAGCAAAAGCCTCCTCAAGAAAGCTCTCTTGATGCCTTAATATTAAATTTATTCATAAAAGGAATTAGAACACAATGTTCTTAGTCCGCGCGCGCGTATGGAATTATCATTTCTTAATTCACGGAAAAATACCGACTTCTTAATGAAGCATAGTGGAGGTGAAAGCTAGGATTGAAACCGGAACTCAACTATCAGACGACCATGCAACGTATGAAGCCACGCAACGCCACCATTGTCTCTCAGAACTGAGTACCCTAAATAGAGCTTTATACAGAACAATGGAAACCGTGCATTTATTGACAGAATTCTACAAAAATCGTAAACCCGCGTCGAGACTCCACATTCATTAGGGAGACAACATATTTGTCGCATATTTGTTTAGGCAATATTTGCTTATTACCAATTTCCTTTCAAGATTTCAAATCTTATAACACGCAAATTGATTGATGTCAAATTTGATTGCTAATGACCAAACAATCTGATAAAAATCTTATTTTATATGTTTTTTCTTGTTTTACATGAAAGATTTTTCACATTTTTACAAAACGTAACAATATCAAAGACGCAAAAATATGTAGTATAAATGTATTTATAAATTTTTTCTAAAAATATCTTATTTAAAAATTTATTTCTTTAATTATCAGTTTTTTAACAACTTTCTGAGAGTTTTAATTGCAAATTACTTAAGCATTTCTTTTTTAATACGTAGATAGCAATGTTTATATTGCGCAATATTTATTGACGTACTACTGTTTTTAATATTCCTGATATTAAAAATATCAGGAATATTAACCCTCAGTATCCACATCTCAAAAAAGTCTCTATCTATCCACATCCGGGTATTTGTAACCCAACGTTTTCTTTTGCTTGTATCGCAGATTGTAGTGCATCGATTTTAACTAACTTTTTTTTAATCTATCGTTTGAAGACTGAAAAAAAACAATTTTTTAGTTAGAAATATCATAGCATAAAAGAATATTTTGCAATAAGTGAAAAGAGAAAAAAGTCAGAAAAAAGTCTATGAAAAGAGAGAGGAGGACGCTAAATCCTTTGCAGGTACTGCGGATTAAAAACAATTAATATTAAAAACATTTTATATAAATAATAAAATGTTTATTATAACGAAAACTTTAAACATTCTGTTTACGTATAATGTTTTTTTTTCGTACTAATTTTTTGTATATAAATTTACTTTCCAATAATATCGATATGTTAATACTAAAAATACAGATACGATAATGTACAATTGGAACTGTATTATTCAAACATGTCTTCTTTAAAAACTTTCTTTAAATATAAAAAAGGCAAATCCTTTCTGTTTTAAGTTTTTATAATTAATTTGTCGAATAAAAATATATTTTAAAATTTAAAATAATTAAAAATAATTATTTTGTTATATATATTTTGTTTATAGATGAATCCACAACATACAGTGCCTACATTGGATGACAATGGCCTATATTTATGAGAAAGGTATATATTTCCTAATTTTTTTTTACTTTAATTTAGCAAATGTCATTGACATTCATACATATAAAATAAATATACTTTCTCTATAATAATTAACAACTTATATTTTGTTTGTTATAGTTTAATTTACTTGATATTAAATTCTCATAATGTTAGATATTTGTTTAAAGCTAATTTAGATTTACGAATTCTTTCAGAGATTTACAAAATCGTATACAAATTCTTTAGTAAAGCGTTAGTTAATTATTATTATTATTATTATTATTATACATTATTATTATACATTTATTATTCACGTGCTCGCCTTAATTTGCAGTCGCGCAATTATGACTTACCTGGCTAATCAATATGATAAGAACGGTTCTCTTTACCCAAAAGATCCAAAGAAACGAGCCTTAGTTGATCAGAGACTATGTTTTGACTTGGGAACTCTATATCAATCTTTTATCAATTATGTAAGTTATTCTTAAATTATATAATATCATAATATGTAATGATTAACAAAATCGATATAGAATAAACATTAATCACAGTATCAACTGGTAGTTACTGGTGTCACTCCGGAGCAAGCAAAATACGATAAAATGAACGATGTTTTATCTTTCTTGGATAAATTTCTAGAAGGGGAAAATTATGTGGCAGGAAAAACTCTAACTCTCGCCGATCTTGCCTTGGTCGTCACCATTTCCAATTATCAGGTAGAAAATAGGTTTACACAAGTATACGTCACCGATTTATTGAAACATACATTAAATCAGTAAATTGTGAGCGTGAAGAAAACAATATTTCTACAGATTTAAACAAAAAAAAATTATTTTTAAAACAACATTTAAAAAAATCAAATATTAATAGTTTTATCATTATTAATTATTTGCAATATTAATTTCCAGTAATAAATTTTTGCACTTTTAAATTTGTAACATTTCATTACAGTATAT